TAAAATTTTTCACGTGTTTAACATATGTAATTTATGAAAAGTGGATAACAGAATGTCTATAATAAAATATTTTTATAATTAATTTTGTAATTTGATGTACTTGAGTAATGCCACTATATTTATACAAAGTACTTTAATAAAGTTAATTTTTTTCACTACACTGTTATGCTTTTCTGAAGCTATGACTACACTAAACTAAAAATTAAAACTGGATGTCACTGGAACGATTTATTCCTGATCAAATTCTATAAGACCTAATTTACACCAACCAAATATTGTTACAGGTATTATATATGATAATACTCATAAGCTATTTCACACAGGCCTTCTTTTGATGGATTCTAAAGAATGATACATCTTTTAAAAAAAGAAAGAGAGAAAGAGGTTTAGATAAAGTTGATGTCTTAATAGAGTTAATGTTTTTCACTACACTGTTATGCTTTTCTGAAGCTATGACTACACTAAATTCTAAAAATTAAAACCGGATGTCACTGGAACGATTTATTCCTGATCAAAATTTATAAGACCTAATTTACACCAACCAAATATTATTACAGGTATTATATATGATAATCCTCACAAGCTATTTCACACAGGCCTTCTTTTGATGGATTCTAAAGAATGATATATCTTTAAAAAAGAAAGAGAGAAAGGGGTTTAGATTAGTGCAAAGCCTTCCAGGACCTGTTGCTTCCTTAGGCTATGGAGATATACTCAGTTCACCATGATTTTCAGTCAGCCTTCACTTGCAGACAGAAAAGAACATGACTCTCTTTATTGACTTCTCGGTTTCAATTGCCAGCGACGAATCTGTTCACTGACGAGGAACATCTCACATTCTCATTCAGCAAACCCAAGAGAGTCGCCAACAACCAGCAACATTAGCGTTCTTAGTCTCTTAGGGAAGTGTTGACAGGGGTTTACCAGAAGTTAGCAGAAATTGTTTACATGATTTTAAAGAAGAAATTACATAATACTTAGCTTGGCAATTTTAGATAGTGTTATCATATTATCAGACTGCCTGAGAATTGTGCCGTACACCACTTCTGCATAGTATGTTTGCATATCCTCTTTAACCCCTTAACTGCCGAGGGCATATACATACGCCTTGCTCAGCCGATGCGTTAACTGCCCCGGGCGTATAAATACGCCCTTCCAAAATGCTATCATTTGCTTTGTGCTGCTACCCGTAAAATTATTCGCAAAGCTTTGGAATGCAACACTACAATGACCTTGACAAAGTATGCGAAGGAGTATACTATTTCAGAGAAGCATGGAGAGAAATCAAAGAGATGGATGTGTCTAAAGCGGTGAAAGTAATGACTGCCAGGTATTGTTTGATGTTGTTTGAGTAAAACTTTTTTTTTCTGTGGCCTCCGTTTTCGTTTACTTTTTGTAGTTCCAGGAATAAAGAAAAATATAACGGATGTTTCAAACCCATTTATCTTTTTTGAATTATTTTTTGATGAACTGCTCCTGCTACATATTGTTACTGAAACTAACCATTTTGTAGACGAGTACAGTCAAAAGTCGTTAATCCGGACTCATCGGGACTTCGGCGATTCCGGATTATCGATCATCAGTTTAAATCTGGTAAGATGGCATGCAGAAATTATAAAATTAAAAATATGAAACCGTAATTTATGAAATAAAGAACATTTATGATCTAAAGGGTATCAAAATTTACAAAAAAAAGGCTTAATATTTATTTGTTTACTTTATTAAACATTTCTTTCAATGTAAGTTGTTTCGTTTTATGTGATAATACTTTCTCTTTAATTCTATAAACCGACATAATTTTTTGTTCACTTACAAAGTTCCGCTGTTCAAGTCCCGTTAATAGAATACCGGCTAACTTGTCAATCGAAATTTTTTCGTTTTCACTAACCTCTCTGTCACATTCTTCATGTCTTTATCCATTTTTTGCAGCAATTCCACTTTTTGTTTGATGGCCATCGAAACATACTTTCGTTTTGTACGATCCTTTGGGAGCTCCAGAATCAAAAATTCTATTTGACATAATCGAAAGTTCAAGTTTACTTTTTTAGTATTGCTCTTACGGTCTGCAAAAAATAATAAGCCGGATCCAATTCGAAAATTAAAGAACAACGCAATCATCAACATTAAATGAAATAGATAATTAGATAATTTTAGCTTACACTGTCCGTTATACATAAAACGCGCACGTGAAAACATATTCTGCGCTTGCGCACACGCAAATGCGCAGTCGTAACAGGTCTTACGCGCACGCGTTAAACGCCTATGCGCATGTGTCAACGCGGAGCATGCGCAGAAAGTTTTTAGCTTTGAGGTCCGGATTATAGATCATTCCGAATTACGGGTGTCCGAATTAACGACTTTTGACTGTATATGAACCAACACCTTGCAAACGAAAAATTAAGAACAAAATTGTGGCATTCAACCAGTTCAGAAGAAAGATATGCTTTTTTAGGCATACTGATTTCACAAGGTATAACACTGAAAACCTGATATTACACATTACTGGTCTAAAAATGAATTGAATGAAACTTCATTTTAGGGATCTTTTTTATTATAAAAATATCATTTTTATTATATTTACATCTTTTTATTATACTTTTACTCAAAATATTAAATTTTGTGCATTCATTTTTTTCTTTTATTCTTGATTTTGTGAAAGTAAACAGTTTTTAGAAAGTAAAAACTTGCACTTATTTTCTCCCTAATACATCGCATAGCTACGCGTGCTTGTGTAAAAAACTGTGGCACTGGGAAATGAATCTTGTACATTTTGCGCGGCAGTTAAGGGGTTAATGGCTGTCTGAATGTCAAACAGAACAGCCGACAGTGTTTCAGTCCAGTTATTGGTCTCATGAGGCTTGAGAGAGAATTTTAAATGTTGATGAAATTAATTCAACAATGCCATTTGACATTGGATGATATCCTGTCATTGTGATTCTGTTTGTACAGAAAGTGAGTGTTAACTCTTGAAGCATTGCAGATCTCATTTGAGAACCTTGATCTGTTGTTATGACCAAAAAAGGTAAAGGCATCCAAAGGGAGATATCCATGAGTTGAAAATACCTCTGAAATAGTTTCCATTTTCATATCAGGGATAAGTATAGCTTCAGGCCATCTGTGAAATCTATCTGTTTAAAGTCAAAAGGTATGTGCAACCTTTTGACGGCGGTAATGGGCTAACAATATCCATGTGGATTTCTGAAAAACATTCATCAGGAAGTGAGGTAACCAGTGGTGCTTTAGTGTGTGTGCCTGTTTATTTTAAAACTCTAGCAAGATTCACAGGATTTTACACAATTTTTAACATGACATTTCATATCAGGCTATACATAATGACAACAAATGAGCTTTGTAATAGCTGCAATTCCTGAATATGATAGATTATGCAGATGATTAATGATGAGTTTGTGAAAGGAATTCAGAATAAATGGAAGAAAACCATCTGTAAAGATGTCACAAAAAATGTTAACCTAGGAGTATTTGCATGGCTTGAATTCCAGCTTCAAATATGACGTATTGTTTTTGAGAAGGTTTTGTACCACCAGATCATGCTGTTAAGTTCAGAATTTTTTTTTTAAATCCAAAGATGGAGATTTTGTTATGGAATCAATTTTGATTCTCGACAGTGTCAGAAACGACGTTTCTTAGAACCTTACACATGCCTAATAAAATCTAAATGGTGTAATTGTCAAGGTGAACATTTTTGAGGATTTTGCTTAAAAGCGCATATTAAGAGTTTCTGATCCATATAAATTTGAAAATTTCTACCCTCTAACATGTGTCAGAATTTCTTAATTGTAGAATAAATTGAAAAAAAAATTCCCTATTGTAGGTGGATATTTCTGTTGACTTTTATTGAGTTTCATTGAGAAAAATGCTATAGGTTCCCATGTTTCTTGAAACAACTGCATAAGAATGTCACCTGTTGTGATGTCTGAAGCATCTACCCAGATGCTTAACTGGGTTCTGGGAATAGGGTGTCTTTAAAAGGTAATCCAAGAAAGCAGCAATAAAGACTTGTTCAGCATTTTCATTCCAATTTAATGGTGAAGATGAATCCTGAACACAAGAAAGAGATTTCTTTTTATTAATATGTTTTATGCAAAGCCCATATTATTGATGTTTCGAAAATAAGGCTTTCAAATACCTGCAGTGTTCCTCAGAATCTTTATAGAGACTATGAGCAAATTATCAATGAAAGCATAAACAACTCTTAAATGTTTTGCGACTTTGTTTACAAAGGTTGAAATTTTGCGGATGCATTGCATAAGCTGAATTGCATATGGGTACTTTTGAATAAATCGAATGGTGTACATATAGTGGTTTTATTAATGTCAGCAGGATTAATTGATATTTGGTGATATGCCTTAATCAGTTCAACAAGACTAAACATTTTAGTACCGTGCAATAGGGTATTTATCTTCTATTCTTTGAGCATCCAACATGTGATAATCTCTTACAGGTCTCCATTCCAAAGTTCCCTCTTTTGGAACCATGTGAAGTGGGGATACATAATTGCTTCTCAAGTCTCAAATTCCCCAATTGTATCACAGTTTGAAATTCTTGTTTTGCTCTTTTTAAGGGATCTGTGACGAGGTTTCAAACCAGAGGTGGACCTTTAGTTATGATATAACGAAGTGTTGCGTTTAGCAGGCTGACTAAGATCTGGTAATTTAGTAATAGAAGGGAACTCTTTAACAATTTTATGATAAGGTGTATCATTAAAAACTAATTTTACTGATTAAATGTCTGCATTTTTTATGCAACCTACAGTTTGAATGTCCAGATGTCGACAATGTAGAACCATAGTGGCATCCACCGATCCTTGTTGTCTATATTACATTAAATATTCTCCAGTTCATTTGTTTAAGTTCTTTACCTTCACTTCTTCACACAGAAATGAGAAAGACCAGGCATAATAAAAGACCAAAACTCAATAAAAATGCTAAATTTTAATTTTAAGAAAAACTGTGAACTGAATATTAAATAATTCAACTTACCTGATGAATATTCATAAAGAAGTCAGGAAAAAAATGAGGCCAGTCTAACCGACCAATATCAACAACCAGTTTTCCTAATTTATTGCATATAAAATTTGGAACTTTAAGGTGATGACTGATCATAAATCGATGCAATCTTGTTCGTAATTCTGCTTTATCTGGTCCAGGCATTCGAATCCATACTTTATTAATGATATGCTAGAAGAAATTTTAATAAATAACAATTCACAGATGATTACAAAATAAATCACAAATGCTAACTAAAACACAGGAATAAAAATTAAATGTATATACTCATTTTTGAATATAAAATTTGCCAGTTTCATTTTATTTCATACTTTAACATGGCAGTTTTTACTCTAAGTAAACACTTTAAAAATTTTAATGTTTTTTAAACAAACTTAAGGATTTAAATCAGTCTCAAAAAGAAATACAGAGATAAGAGGTGACAAACAAAAAATCCTAGAAGCTTTGTACGATGGTAAGAATAATGATAGGAAATAGGGCAAAACAAACTTTTGACTGTGTTCTCCTCTCAAATAATACAGTTCATTGGAAAATCATTGATATGTCTAATGATGTAAAATGGATGTTATTGTCTGACATTTTTTAAAACTCTTATTATGCATTACAAATTGATAAGGCAATTGATATTGAAAATTTTGCAAAATCTATTGCTGTTTGTTAGATATGAAAAAAAATCAAGAAATCCATGATAATATTTTATTTTGCCAGTATTTATCAGGTCACACAGTAGGAAAAGATATCTTTAATATTATGAATAAATTTGTGCAAGAGAGCAAAACTTATTGGAATAAGCACAGTTGGAGCAATAAGTATGGTCAAAATTAATAAAGTTGTCCTTTGAATCCATGACTATTTTCACAAATGTGAGAAGAAATGGAAAGTATTCATACTTAGCTTCCTTATCATACTGATGTTCACTGGCTATCTCAAAGGAAAATTCTAAGCTGATTATTTGAACTTAGACATGAACTTCAAATATTTCTTAATGATAGACTTCAGCTGAGAAACTGTTTACATGACTGGAAGTGGCTTTGCAAATTGGTATACTTAGCAGACATATTCTCTGTTTAACATTGCCTCAACATATTGTTGCAAGGCAAAGAAGCTTTAGTGTTTCAGGTTCAAGATGAAGGCAAAATTAAATTTGTGGCAAAACAGAGCTAGTAATGGAGAAGTGGACTCGTTTTCCTATCTTCATGAGTTTATAAGAAGTATGACTGATAAGACTGATGATGACACTCTGAAATGTATAACACAGCATTTAGAGAATTTACGAGCCCGAAAAACTGTTTGCCTGATTTAAAGAAAATATTCAATAGATAAGATATCAATTTAATATTAATACAACATTCATGCCAGAAATTTCTCACATGTGGAATAAGAGCAATTGTTGGAATTAACTTCAGATGGATTCTTGAAAAATAGACATAAAGAGTGTATTTTAAAATCATCCTGGTTGCAAATGTAACATGTTTATCCAGTTTTAACAGAGAAAGTCCTGAAATGTATCTTGCTTTTTCCAACTTCATATCTATGTGAAGTTGCTTTTTCAGCATAAGTAAACATTAAGTCAGAAAAAGAAACAGGCTTTAGGATGTGGAACTGCATTTCAAATTAAAATTAAATTATGATGATCTCTTGTCGCAACATAAATGATTTTATCCTTCTCACTAATTATAATGAATGTTATTTATAAAATAACTGTTATTAATTTTATTTATGTTTCATTATGAATTAATTTTATTTTTCACTTATTATTATTTTGTTTATTAACTAAAAAAGGGGGAAAAGTAAAAATATTTTGATTGTTATTAAAGTATAAGCAATTTTTTTAAGAGGGGTACTCAGTATTACGAAAATTATAGGAGTATACAGATGTCGAAAGTTTGAGAAACACTATAATATTGGGTCAATGCATAATTTCAAGACATTCTTCATTGGGTTGGCAACACTGCATTCATTGAGAAGCCTTTGTTATTTTTTGTAATTTATTTGTTTCTCTTCAGTTTTGAGTTTGATTGTTGAGAACAGGAAATTATACGTTGTCAACAACTCGTTTTGGCTGTTTTCAAGGCTAATCAGTATGGAATGTCAAGTAGTGAAAAATTCATACTTACGACACATTTACTGACCTCTCTGACTGCAATCTTCTCTGGTATCTCTCTAACAACATTCAGGGGCAAAAGTTTCATGACAAAGATTTTTTTAGCAACAGGCTAACATATCTGTTCAAGTTGAAACCACAACAATTCTACAGGAGAGGCACTGAATTCTTATCTGGATGGTCGCTGGCAATTATTGACAAAGATGGTGATTAAATCACCGAGTGAATGATTATTGATTTATGACGCAATATATATTGTCTTGTTATTGTCCATTGTATAGTTTGTAAGGCACGTTATACTAATAAAATCATACCATGGTAAAAACGGCAACCCAATAATGAATGGCATGAACTTATGTACCAAAAAAATAATTTTATTGTATAATTTTCCATCTAATTTCTGGCCTTTAATATTTTAATTATTATTATGCTGTAGATGTTTTAATTCATAACAAAATGATGCTTGAACTGTACAGACAGCTTATATAGAACTAGAGACATGACCAAAAATCCTTCTGAGAGACATTAGCAACACTGGCAATTACTTAAACTTGGTGACATCCTTCCAAAATGAAGTTTCCAGAAAATGCATTTTTGAAGTCCTATGAGCACCTTCTTGAAGTTTCCAGATGTTTTGAGAAAATCTGTAAATTTTCGATGCACTGGAAATGTCAGTTAAGTTTTTCAACTGTACTGATCTGCTTGTTCTGCTTGTTGACTATTGCTTTGGACTTTGTGAATGAGTTTGGTGACTGCACTGCATGTTACAGAGAATTGGGTTTAACTGCTTTTACCCCCTCCTTAAACTATTTATAGAAGTACACCTTGCTGTATGAGCCATTACCTGTTTCGATAAAATGTCAATTCCTTCCTGGACATCTGATGTAGTTATTTAGGAGATTTCTGTGCACTTGTAGCAAACATCAGGAAGCTTGTATTAAGTACAATATACTAAGCTTTAGATACACAGTGGAGCTTGAATTGTTCAGACCCCAATTTTCATCATTCAGATTCTTTTATTTGCCACATAAAATTGTTTAGCTCACCAGTGGCTGAGCAGTAAAGTCGCTGAACACTGGTAGTTCGGTCCAAAGGTTCGAATCCCGCGAATGGGCTGGCTGCATGGGTGTTTTCGTGGTCCATGTGTAACATGTATACAAGCCAGTTTCCCTTAGAAAGTCCTTAGAATCCCTCCCTTTGGGCAAATAGCCCTTGGGGCTTTACCATAATTAATAACCTAACCTAAAATTGTTTAATGAATTATTATTATTTGAGTGATTTAATATAAAAATAATACAGTATAGTACATTTTCAAGAAAATGCCAAATTAATTTATAGGTATGTATACAACATACAACATCTAGAATGGCCTACAAAGCTTAGTAAATAAGCAGCTTATAAACATTAAAGGAAAAGCTAATCTGTTCTTTATTTATTCCACGAGTCATTGTTCAGCCATATTAATGTCTTTTCTAAAAACACAATAAACAAAGTAAATATATTAATTTATTACATTAAACAAGGCATTTTTGTCTCACATTCCAGTCATTTACTCTCTGTTAACATTTTGGAATAAATTGTTATTTTTTAAATAGCAAAATTTTATTTTTAAGACTAAAATATCAGTTTTGATATCAGAAATACCTTTAGTAGAACTTTTAAACATTTTTAGATTGTCTACTATTGTGATTGTTACCATTATTGTTTTATTTCCTTGCTTATAAAAATTATATTTTGATTTTCTGCTTTTTACATATGAACAAATACTAGAAGAGAATGTTACACATACCTCTAAGACTGTCAAACAATACATCAATACATATTCATTAGAGGTACTTGATAAAAAATTTAAAGCATGCCTCCAGCACTCTGGTTGATTACTAAATCCATTTAAAACCTCTTCTGAAAATAAATTAATCAAATTTTAAAAAATCAGTGAGCTTAATACAATTTCATAATAAATGTATAATAGATAATTTTATGATGCTCAATTATACTATGCAATAGGCAACAGAAGATAACCTGAATAATTTTAAGGACTTTTAGATTATTTTTACTGCAATAAAAAAGTTTCTAAAAACAGCAGCTTTGTAAACTGGTGAAAAACATTTCTTTGGATATCTTTACAGCCCATAATTATTGTTCTGTTTATAAATAATAATAAAAAGAAGCATTCTATAAAAAACAAGAAATTGTATGAGAAACGAAAAACAAAATTCAATACAGTCAATATTTTACATTTTTACAGCCAATGGATACTGTTTAAGAAACCAATAAATACAAAACATGTAAATTTTTTAGTATTCAAACATGTATCTGGTATATGTGTGGGTTATTTACTGTTGCATGTATGCTAAACTATATGCCAAAGGCAAGCAACTCCACCAAAAGTTAAACCTGAAGATATGGATAAACAGAAAGTACCTAATTTTAATATGCCAATAATTTATCTTTCTGATTTGTAAAAATTAAAATAAGCCATTTTGCAGACCTCATTTTTTAACATACGGTATTAAAATATTATTAACTGCATCACTTACTGCATTTATTAGACATAAAATTATTATATCTAATGTCCATAAATTTGCAGCAGGTGACCTATTAGGATGTACCTACTGCACCAAGTTGCCTATCCAACATTTGCAATGAAAATCAAGATTGTCAAAGAGACTCCCTGCATTATTATAACACACTTACCAAAAGGCACTCCCATTTGAAAAACTATCACCTTGTCAGCTGAAGTTTCCAAAACATGGCTATAAGAGCAAGTTAAAGGAACTTTGCGATTAAAAAAAAGGGGGGTATTTCCTAATTATCTACACTCCCTCCCTACCAAAAGGTTACAAAAAAGTATTCATGAGGCAAAGCAGTTTTTCCCCCAAACAACTGTGTGGTAACTCACAATATTGCCAAAAAGTATTCTATAACTTAGGTATGAATGTAATCTAATGCCCAAGTTGTACAGATGTCAAATGCACGTGACTGTCTGTTTTCTTAAGCAGATTGCTTTGTACATGGGAAAACAAGAATACAGAAAAAGAAGGATTTTTTAAAAAAGGTTTTTTTATTGCCAATACTTGTTGCCTTTTAAATTTATTGATTGATTGCTCTTGCACAAAATTCTTAGTGTGCCTCAATTTCACTGCTGTCTTTCATGTATCAACTTGGCAAACAATTAGTCACCATTGAGTTTGCAAATGCTCTCCAAAGTCACCAAAAAGTTTGCAATTGTTCATTGGGTATGTAAACATAACTAGAAAGTTCCAAAAAATATTGTTACTTGACTTCCTGATCTAATCAGGTTAAAGAATTTTTCACGGTCATAAAAATTTCAAAATTTCATGGACAGAAAGAGACAGAAAGTGCATGCAGTTAAACTTGCGACATCCATAGGTAATAAATACGTCACCCAGTTCTCTACTTCAGAAAAGCCGAAATACTTTCTCTCCTTCACATCCTAAACACGTGGTCAACCCCGCAAAGAGTAAGGGGGAAAAATGCAGCTGTGCAGTCTGACTCCTGATCCCCACAAGAGGCCGACTCGTGAGAAACTGAAATACACCCACGCCCTTTTAACTGTATCACATCTTCAGCCAAACTTAAAAGAGCTTGCCGTAATTGAAGGAAAAGTTTAAACAATGCTAAATATTATACATTAATTCTTAAATACGAACATTAAAAATTCATTATTCACAATAAAATAACTAAGAATACCTTATGCACAGCAAAATAATATGTAATAACTGTACTCAACAAAATAATACATAACAATTTTCCATAAAATAATACATAACAAAGAATAGTGACATTTTATTTAAGTTTTATTAATAGTTAACTTAATTCCTTCTTTGATGCCTTGTTTCATCATGTACTCACTCAGCCCAAAGATTTAACCCCTTAACTGCCGTGGGCATATATATAGGCCTTGCTCAGCTGATGCGTTAACTGCCACGGGTGTATATATACGCACTTCCAAACTACAGTCAAAAGTCGTTAATCCAGACTCGTCGGGACTTCGGCGATTCCGGATTATAGATCATCAGTTTAAATCTGGTAAGATGGCATGCAGAAATTATAAAATTAAAAATATAAAACAGTAATTTATGAAATAACAATTATGATCTAAAGGGTATCAAAATTTACAAAAAAAAAAGCTTAATATTTATTTGTTTACTTTATTAAATATTTCTTTCAATGCAAGTTGTTTAAGTTGCTTCGTTTTATGTGATAATACTTTCTCTTTAATTCTATAAACGGACATAATTCTTCTTCAGTTACAAAGTTCCGCTGTTCGGGTCCTATAATTGTTGTGTCGAGAATGCCGATTAATTTGTCAAATCGAAATTTTTTCATTTTCAATAACCTCTGTGTCACTTTCTTCTATCGGAAGCGAATTATAAGGACAAGGAATTTCATTTAAATCATATCAAAAACAGAGTACATCGAGATGAAATACTACATTTAGTAAGGAATTATAAGCCAAATATAATAAAAACATCTGCCCTGAAGATGTGCTGACAGATCAACTTCCAATTCATTGCACGCTGCGGCATTTCCGCCCCTCACACACACCACAGTGTAGCGTGAAATTGATAAACAGATTTCGGAATGGTTAGAGAAACGAAGGATATGCCTTTATCCATTTTTTGCAGCAATTCCTCTTTTTGTTTAATGGACTTCGAAACATACTTTCGCTTTGCAGATCCTTTACATATTAGAAAATATATATTGGAAATTCTATTTGACATAATCGAAAGTTCAAGCTTACTTTTATAAAACTGCTCTAACAGTCTGCAAAAAATAATAAGCCGGATCCAATTCGAAGATTAAGGAACAACGCAATCTGCAACATTAATTGAATTAGATAATTTTATCTTAGCTTATACCATCCCTTATACATTAAACGCGCAAGCGTAAATGTATTATGCGCATGCGCACATGCATATTCGCAGGCGTAAAGGTCTTACGCGAATGAGTCAACGCAACGCATGCATAGAAAGTTTGTAGCTTGGAGGTCCGGATTATAGATCATTCTGGATTATGGGTGTCTGAATTAATGACTTTTGACTGTACTATCATTTGCTTTGCGCTGCTACCCATAAAATTATTCGCAAAGCTTTGGAATGCAACACCACAATGACCTTCACAAAGTATGCAAAAGAGGAGAAACTGGAGAGAGGGGTGTGTCTAAAGCGGTGAAAGTAATGATTGCAGGGTATTGGCTGGTGTTGTTGGAGTAAAACGTATTTTTTTTTTATTCTGTGTCCATTTTTGTTTTTATTTTTATTCCATTTTTGTTTACTTTTTGTAGTAGGTTGCAGGAATAAAGAAAGATATAACGGATGTTTCAAACCCATTTATCTTTTTCGAATTATTTTTTTATGAACTGCTCGTGCTTCATATTGTTACTGAAAAACTAACCATTTTGTAGACGAGTATATGAACCAACACCTTGGAAACAAAAAATCAAGAACAAAATAGTGACATTCAACCAATTCAGAAGAAATATATGTTTTTTTAGGCATACTGATTTCACAAGGTATAACACTGAAACCTGATACTACACTTTACTGGTATAAAAATGAATTGATTGAAACTCCATTTTAGGGATCTTTTTTATTATAAAAACATCATTTTTATTATACTTACATCTTTTTATTATACTTTTACTCACAACATTAAATTTTGTGCATTCATTTTTTTCTTTTTCTCTTTATTTTGTGAAAGTAAACAGTTTTTAGAAAGTAAAACTTGCACTTATTTTCCCCAATACATCGCATAACTACGTGCACCTGTGTGAAAAACCGTAGCACTGGGAAATGAATCTTGTACGTTTTCCACGGTTAAGGGGTTAAGCATATTTTACAGCAAGCGGCTTAGGTTAAAATAAGAAGTAAAATCATAATCAGTGATCAGTTTGTAACAGAAGTTTGACTACTGACACCACTGCTGCTTGCACAGAGAAAGGGAGCTGCTGCTGATGAGAACAAATCTGAATACCATATGTTGTCACAACTGATTGAGAGTTGAAAGTGAGTTGCACTATGTGTGTCTGAACCAGTTAGTTTTAGCTATGTACAGAATTGCTGGAGTTGTAACCCAGCTAATATACTGTTAAGTTCCAGCTAATATACTGTTTTGTAATGTTTTTATGTCTCACTAACTGAAAAAGTAACATTTTCACAATTTTGTGCTATCTTACATAAATAAGGATTAAGGAAAAGCAATAAGTTGCCTTAACACTTACAGGTAATGTCTAAGGTTCAGCAGTTAATTACAAATAACTAAATTTAGTTAGATATCTATTCAATGAAAACTAAAATGCATACATTAGCCAAACTATGCTGCATATGCTACTATTATTTTTCATTCTGGTAGAGCAAACTGACACACACACACATATACAGGGGTTGGACAAAAATATGGAAACACCTTTTAAAAAACACGTTTATTTGCTTAATATGGTGTAGGAAACCCGTTGGCATCCAAAACAGCTTGCAGTCTTCTCGGAATGGATAAAATACAGTTCCTGTATGTTTGCCAAGGGAATATTATACCATTCTTCCTGCAAAACGGTGGCAAGTTCAGATAACGATGTTGGTGGTGGATAACGAGAACGCACTTTCCGTTCCAATGTAGAACACAAAGGTTCGATAATATTCAGGTCTGGTGACTGTGGTGGCCAGGGGGAGATGGGACAACTCATCCTCGTGCTCAGAAAACCAGTCCTGGACAATGTGAGCTATGTGAACAGGAGCTTTGTCATCTTGGAAGACACCATCACTATCAGGGAACAAAGTTTGTACCATGGGATGAACTTGATCGGCCAAAATGTTCACATAAGTCTTGGCAGTCATGTGCCCTGACACAGTTATCATGGGGCTAGCAGAGAACCACGATATGGCTGCCCAAACCATAACAGAACCCCCGCCATGTTTCACTCTTGGCAACAAGCAGTCTGTATTATAGGCTTCAGATGGCGTTCTCCAGATGTAAACTCGGCCAGAAGTGGGAAACAATGTGAAAGAAGACTCGTCAGACCATATTACTCGCTTCCACTGCTCTATAGTCCAGGCTTTATGACTTAAACACCACCTTTTCCTGTTACGGGCATTAGCATCACTGATAAGTGGCTTCTCAAATGCAGCACGGCCAGCAATTCCCTGTTTATGAAGCTCCCTTCTAATTGTTTTGGTACTCACCGGGTTCGGTAACACAACATTCATTTCAGCAGTAACTTTTGCAGCTGTGGTCTTCTTATTTTTTGTCACAATTGTGTGCCTCGTCTGTCACGATCACTCAGAACACACTTTCGTCCGCGCTGTGATTTAGCAGATGATGTTTTTCCACTTTTCAAATATGCGGAATAAATCTTCGATACAGTACCTCTTGAAACACTAAACACCTCGGCTACCTTGCTTACGGAAGCACCTACCATACGTTCTCCAACAATTTGCCCACATTCGAAGTCTGTTAACTCTGACATAATGCAATGACAACCTCACATAACAGTACTCTGACAACAACTGAACTGTTTAGCACATTTACGAAGTTGTATAGGTGGCGTCAGTAGTCAAAACTGCCAGCGTCAGTTTTGACTACTGACGCCACCTATACAACTTCGTAAATTCGCCATATTTCATTAAAATCAATCTTTCTTTTCAAACATGCATTTCACAAGGTGTTTCCATATTTTTGTCCATCCACTGTATATATATATACTATTTACAAAGAAATACACAAAAATTTCCTTTATCATAAATACCTATCTGTCTTTTCCTTTCATTTGTTGTATTAGGATTAAAAAATTCTGTCAAAAGAGCTTCCAGAGTTGATAAGGATTTATCTTCAGAAGCCTGAAATATACAAGAAATACAGTTAATTATTTAATATAGTATTTAAACATAAATTCAGTACTGAATCATTAAAAAAATAGCAACAATTGAAACATCATTTCAAATGCGAAATTATAAAAGATAATCAACAAAAAACAGTACATTAATGTACGAATAGAATTAATAATAATACAGTGGTCATCAAAATCAAAGGATAATGACAGAAATAAAATGTAACTAATACTTAATGAAAAATTATTTATAGAAATTTATACAAAAGCATTAACATAAATTATAATGTTTGGCAGTTGATTATTCCCAAAATATTGAAATTAAATTTATAGAAATCGGAAAAAAAATGGACAAATAAAGTCACGTCTGGTGGAAAAATGTTTTTTTGGTACTATTTGGTTTCAAGGGCCGTAAAATATCGCCAAACTATTGTTGATGGCAATGCTGCCAAAAATAATTCCGGCAAGAAAGGAAGTATAATAGTAAATAACTATCTAAGATTCATGTTTTAATTTAGATGAAAGGTTAATTTCATATAATACTTTTTTATTAATATAATTTATATGAAAAAGGCCAAACATGACTGAATGGAAGCATAAGAGTGAATAACTATTTCAGATCATTATTATAATTTATATAAAAATTGCTAAACATAACTGAATAGATGCCTGCATCGCTATTTCGCTACCGACTTACCGCTAAAGCATAATTTCATCTCGTTGGTTGTTCAAACGTAATTTTCTATAATGAATGATGCTTTTTCTTTGAAAATATTCTCGGTAAAATGCAGAATCGCCCACTTATTTGTTTGCCACTTTTTACAAAGGTAAAAACAATTTAATTTTTGTCAATTTTCTTTTACTTTTTAAGTGAAAATAGGTTGATGTACATAAATAAAGTCAAGGGTGTGCGCAGTGCCATTTTTGCGCAATTCTGGGATTTTTTTTTAAAGTGAAAATAGGTCGATGCGCACATGGATACTGAGTATGTGCAATTCTTAAAAACGCGTCAAACAGTGGGTGATTCTGCACTTTACCCAAAATTCTATGGCAGACTTTTCATCGTAGGCAATTTCCAAATTGTTAAATCTATAGTATATCAAAAAAGAATTTAAAAATTAAACAAGTACTTCAATGGTATCTTAAGAAATATAGAACTATATAAACTTACGTAATCTGAAATCAGCGCGTACGCTAGATTTGGTGCGCTGTTAAATGGGCGCGTTTGCTGATTTGGTGCTTTTGCGCATACATTTTCGCTGCAATTTTTTTACAGTCCTCAAAACGAAATACCATATTTCTTTAAAAATATTTAATGTTTTTAATTAGATATTGAAATTGAATAACAAAATGAATTTGAATAACAAAATGAATTAAATGCATTTTTATTTCCATTAATCTGATTCAAAAGTAAAATAATATTCTTGAACTACATCTATTAATTTTAAATAGCTTAGTTTGCTAATTAATAACAGACAGAATAAATCTGAAAGATAACTCTTGCATTTTGCCAGATGGCAACAGACCTTGAATGAAAAGTGAAACTAAGCAAAACTGTGTTTTGAGACCTTTTGGACCAACAATCAAAATGTATTCACTTTCAATTCTTCAATTTAATTTACTTCAATCAAAATTATATTCTCATTTTTGGTTCAGTTGATTAAATATCATCGTAAATTCAGATCAGTTTAATAGAAAACTTCTAGAGTATGTTCAATTTTGCATACATTTCTTTTGCAAATGATAAATTCAAGAATCACCCACTGCTTGGAGCTTTTTTCAAAATCGCCAACTTAAAAATAACGAGTGAAAGAATTGCACAAACTCCATGCACACATCGACCTATTTTCACTTTAAAAAAAAAATCACTGAATTGGACAAACTCGGCACTGTACACTCCCTTTGTCCATGTACACATTGATAAAGACGGGGAATAAAGCTTATTTTTTCTCTTTTTAACAGTAATTTTACTGCTTGAAAATCAGTAAGGGATTATTAAGCCGTGTGCAATATTTTTGGCAGAAGAATGTTATACTATGGAAGAATGAATAAATATTGTTATTATTATTGTTAGTTAACAATTTCATTTTCCATTTTTAATATTGTCTACTGACTGCAAATAAAAGCAAATTTCTTGCTAAGCTATATCAATTAAACATGGTAATAAACTTAAAACAGTAAATTAAAAAAAAAAAAAACTAAGGAAGTAGAGACAAAAATTCATATAAATTTTGTATACTGAGTATATCTTTGATGCTTATACTGGTGGGAAATTGACAGCAAGCAGAAAAACAACCAGAAACTAAACCCTTACAACAATTTCATACTTTTTGGAAGAGGAAAATGTCAATGCTCATAGAATCTAAAGACGATATACTCTTACTTTTACCAGAAATAGATAAAATACAAATATAAAAGAATTATCCTATGATAAAATATTTTATCAGAAACATGCTGATAAGTTTAATAATGCTTGACCTGACTCTAGAGGCAGCAGAACTACTGTTGACTATACATTCTTAGTCCATTTGCCTTTTATCTCCAAGTAGATTGAATAAACAATTTTGAAATACATGCGCACAGAATAACACGGATTTTTAAGAACTCATAAAATCCAATACGAAAATAAATATAGAATATAAATCAGTGTATGTTAAGAAAAACAGGTTTCACGCCATACGAATTTTACATGAATTTCACATTTTATATACGGGTTGCTAAAATATTATTTTAAGTGTCCCATCCTTTCTTAATGATAAAAGTCAATCATTCATCAAATAAAATTATTTGATTCATGTATTATAAACAACAAAACGAAAAAAAAAAATATTGGCATTAAATATATAGACATTTAAATAATGACAAACAATTTCCCAATTTGTTATATTGCGATTTAAATATGAAATAAACATTTCCATTTAAAAAATTTTGCTATTACGTGAGAAACTTACCATTGCCGTCTCATTCAAATCCAATGCTTTACTCAGGAAACACTACCGCATAGCTGTCAAATGAACTACACATTTTTTTTTTTTTTTTATTATTATTATTTTGCGGTTACAGGTAGAATTTAGGAAAATATGAGCATGTATAGATATAAGTACAAAACTTTGCTGGGTCCTAAATAATTTGATTATGCTTATCTACCAATTTTTCGACGCTAGGTAAGTCAGTTTTTAATTTTGATAAACAATCACAAGTGCATATAAAACTAAAAATTTCACATCAAGGTAATAAATGACAAATAATATGACACTCTCATATTTTAGTTTCCAGATCAGCACTTCAATGCTTATTTCTGCAATTCCTAAGATCTTTAAAATTTCAAATCTGCATAAGATATATCAAACATTGGCCACGTTTGGGACGCATAATTCGCTGGGATTAGTACTACCGTAATAGTTCCTTGGCGTAAATATTATGATGTTTATCTAACGGTGTAATCACTAACAATATACTAATAGCGTATATTATGTAACATCCTATATAATCAGCTGTTTGATGTAAAAGAAACAACTAAACTCCGTATCAGACTTCATGACTTGTTTGCTTTCCGTTTCTTAGGACGATGATGTGTGTTTTACTAATTGTTTCGCATTTATGACGATATTTGAATGTGAAAATTATCATACAGGTATAATGTTTACATATATTGATATAAAAATATCTGCAGCTAGTTTTTCAATTATATAATATTCTGTGAAGCACTTCAAACAAGTATGTTGGTAGATGTTTCGATTCCAAAACAAAAAGTATTTTGATTAAAACATAAGAGCTGCGTTAGTCATACATTATATATATCATTCTAAAGAATGAAGAGGGATGTAGGATCATGTGTAAGCATTTAAAGTTTAAGTTTTCACGGGCTATTTTCCCTTAGTGATATCTTATTGTACATGTATAATAAAAATATAGAAAGTAGTTACTTCTGCGTCATCAGTCTCATATAGAATCATTTTGAAATGAAATGTTTATGTTTTATTTCTTTCACAAGGAAGTTCTCGAATTACTATGCATGAGTAATAAAGTATTGTTATGTTTAAAAACTGATAAGTTTTATAGAAAATTTATTTTAATAAATGTAAATGTTTGACTGATGCATCACTGTGCATTTTGAGCTGGTGTGGACTCTTATCTTAAAACATTTTGCTTTTATGCAGTGTTATTGTAGTACATGAACGTTATGAAGACTTACTTCTTGTTATGCTATTGATTATGATAAAGTATTCAAGTGTTACCTACTTTAAAAGAACTGTCATCATTAAAACCTGTTGTGTAAACTAATTCATATTTTTACAAATAAAAAAATTAATCATAAAAAACCTTCATTCAGTAACCTATTTAGGTTCTAGGAAACAAATCTTGGTAAACTAGTAATACTCAATGTTCTTACTTAGCTACTGAAGAGCGTATTATTTGTGGTATGTGCCAGTTAATAACTTTGTTTATGTAGTTATTATGGAAACATTAGTATTTAGTAATGCTATCTTCATGATTAGCCTATATATGCCAGTTAATATAAACTTAGTGGTTTCATGGTTATTATGAAAATATAAATATTATTATTAATACTGTTTTGAAACTAACTCACATTTAGAATTAAGAAATAGGAATGATAAAGCTTCATGATTTTATCAAGAAGACATTATATATACATTCTGTATAAAAATTTTGGATTTGAAAAAAAAGGATTCGGGGAGAAAGAAAGAAAAATCTCTTAGCTGCATTTTTAATTAGGAGATATTTCTTTTTCACATTGCCTATTTCATAACTTAATAAATCATTTCTAGTAATATTTTTGGGTACTATTCCATTTTGAGGACCATAAAAAAATTGCATGGAAAATTTATGCAAAATGCGGCGCGCAATGAACTGGAAGTTGATCTGTCAGCACTATCCTTATCTTCAGGGCAGATTTTTTATTTTATTCGGCTTATAATTCCTTACTAAAATGTGGTATTTCATCTCGATGTAAATCAAATTCCTCATCATTATAAATATCACAAATACACATCAAATAGTTCTCTGGTTGCAATTTTCTAATTTCGACTATGTATAATGTATGCGTTATGCATGTGCGCATTGAAAGAAATGTTTAATAAAGTAAACAAATAAATATTAAGTGTTTTTTGTAAATTTTGATACTCTTTAGATCATAATTGCTCTTTATTTCATAAATTACGGTTTCATATTTTAATTTTATAATTTCTGCATGCCATCTTACAAGATTTAAACTGATGATCTATAATCCGGAATCGGCGAAGTCCCGACGAGTCCTAAAGACTTTTGACTGTATTACTAAAATTTTAATATTTTTTTCAGAACACAGTTATTAAAAACATACATTTATATTAAGATACTTTTATTTAAATGTTATTTCAAGTAGCCATATATAAAATTAGAAAATCTATTTTTATTAGAAAATGGCAAGTAGACTGGATAAAAAAACCTCTACATTTTATACAAAATAGGTTTTAAAACATTAGAAAAAGCTCACCTGGGAAATGTTACTCCTCCCCCTTTCACTTATCTGGAATTAATCCATAAGCAGAGAACGAAAGTACCATTTTTGAAGTCCAAAACAATGTGCGTACTCACGAAAAACTTGCTTCTCACAAATTCTCCATAGAACTCTAATGGTAAGGAAGATTCGCGGGAAATACGATCTGGGAAATGTTCCATATGTCACATGGTTTTCATTCCTGTTCCCCCTCAGAGTTGCCGTTTCTCTCTCTAGTACATTACAGCTCTATGGGATACCATAAGCATTGCGAAATCCGACATGCGCATGATTGAAACTGTCAATTTTTGTACTGTAATGTACTATTGCAGTTTTAGGTCAATAACTTCAATTTCTGATTTCACCTAGAACAATGTGAAAATTTTAAATAAATAAAAGACAAAATGACAGCCTTACGTGCAAAGCAAGTAAAATGAACGTTTATATTATAAAAAGAATGCGTCAAAACATTTTAATTTTTCTTTGTCTCTATTGTCTTATCTTTATCTATTTTTAGATACATGGTGTAACAATATTTGGTAATAGTAAAATTATTATAATAAGTTAAAGAAAAATCAAAACCGCTAAAATTTTTGGCAACCCCCCCCCTTGCTGCAGGTCTTGTGATCTCTATGGGGGTCGTGACCCACAGTTTAAGAAACTCCTCGAGTGCTTTGCCATAATCCAATAAACCTAAACCACAAGGTGAAAAGTTTTTGAAACATTGCTGTAAATCGTAAAGTGTCGGGCTTTAATAAATTATGTTTTTGTCTAGTTATATATTGCACTAGAATGCTTATAGAAGAAAAGATATCCAGAGTTATAGTCCAAGATCTCTTCGGTTGATCTTTACATTACGGTAACTGGTAGTTTGGCGACATTTTGGAGGCGATAAAGGTTACAACCTGGGACTTTGGTAATAATGTGAGCAGTACTGAGTTCCGATTACGCATTATTTTGTGTGGGGGAAATGAGAGATCATGGGATATGTCATGTGATATTAATGGACGAATTACGGTTCTTTAATCGGAAAAGGGGGGAAATCGGGAAAAATCTGGAAATTTTGTATTTGGCTTTATTCTGTGTTGTGTGAAATAGTGTTTGTGAATTTTTGGATCCCATGGCCGTAAGTAAAGTGAATTCGAAATGGGTATTTAGTGGTATTGAAAGGATAGTAAGAAATGTTTTTTAAGGTTGTGTGAGAGAGAAATAAACATGTTTTATTATGTTATTTATTTTACCTGGTATCTTGCTTTGAAAGATAAGTATGATTTTAAAGATTCTGAAAGAGAATGAAGAAAAGTGTATCCGCCACGTAATGAAGATTCTGAAGGAGATTAGGTAAGTTAGTATTTTTAATTATTTTTATGCATTGTTGGAAATGTAAGGTGGAAAGGAATTTGGTATTATTTGGAAATTGTTATTAGCATGATTTAGTTTAAGTAATTAGGATTGTAAGGTAATTTTATTAATTGAATGTATGTGCTCATGTATATTTTAAGTGGTGTTTTTGAATTTATTATATTTTAATGAAATGATAGTTATTTTGTGAATTTTATACTTGTAGGAATTTGGTGTATGTTTAAGTTGAAATAAATGTGCATGGAAATAATTTAAATATTTGATAATAAATATTTGTAATGGCTTCATGTATGAATTCGTTGGTGACGTGTATAATGTAATAGATGATTTAGAGGTAAAAGTTTTTGGATATTTTATTTATTTTTATATGTGGAAATGTACATATTTGTAAAGGGAAATACTTTTTCGCGATCATGTAATTCATATATGTTCTTTTTACCGGGTTTAAGATTGAGAAAATTGTCATGTATTTTCGTGAATTTTTTTAATTTATGAGATAAAAGCAGTGTACATGGATATAGTGAAGAGTGTGCGCAGTGCCATTTTTGTGCAATTCTGGGATGTTTTTTTAAGTAAAAATAAGTCGACGTGTACATGTCAGTGATATTTTAATGAATGATAGTTATTTTGTGAATTTTATGCTTGTAGGAATTTGGTTTACGTTTAGAAAGTTGAAATAAACGTGCATGGAAATAATTTAATATTTTGATACTAAATATTTGTAATGCTTCATGTATGAATTCGTTGGTGACCGTGTATAATGTAATAGATGATTTAGAGTAAAAGTTTTTGGATATTTTATTTATTTTATATATGGAAATGTTCATATTTGTAAAGGGTAATACTTTTTCGCGATCAGGTAATTTCATATATGTTCTTTTTACCGGGTTTAAAGATTGAGAAAATCGTCATGTATTTTCGTGAAATTTTTCGAATTTATGAGAAAAAAGCATGTACATGGATATAGTGAAGAGTGTGCGCAATGCAATGCCATTTTTGTGCAATTCTGGGATGTTTTTTTAAATAAAATAAGTCAGCGTGTACATGGTTTATGTGTATGTGTTATTTTGAAAAAACGTAAGGTGTATGGTTTGGCACTTTTTCCGAATTTTGCAGTGAATTTGTCATGATTAAGCAGTTTTTGTTTGATAAAATTTCTAGCATAAGTGTAATTCGGCTAGTAGATT